ACCAGGGACGGTAAAGACGGGGCTTGAGCACACCAACTTTCTTACCTTGCGCGTTGACGTAAGGTAGAGACTCCTCAACAACACTAGCGCCAGAACCCAAAATAACAATTGCTGCCTCAGCGTCCTTCGGGCCGGACCATTGGAAGAGATCATAGTGACGACCAGTAACAGCGCCAACACGGTCCATCTCCTCCTTCACAATTTGAGGAGTCTTATCGTAGAAAGCGTTGGAAGCCTCGAACTGTTGGAAATAAACATCGGGATTCTCGTTGGTACCGCGGACATAAGGGCGAGTAGGATTGAGGGCTCTTGCACGATGAGCATTCAGTGCCTTCATATCGATCATCCTTCGCATCTGATTGTAAGGTAAAGTGTCGACCTTCTGAATGCAATGGGAAAGACGGAAACCATCAAAGAAACTGACGAAAGGAACTCTGGCTCTGAGAGTAGCCAAGTGAGATACCAGAGCCATATCATGGCACTCCTGGACAGTATCGGCGTCAATCATAGCGAAACCGGTCTGACGAACGGCCATGACATCCTGATGATCACCAAAAATGGATAAGGCCTGACCAGAAACAGCACGTGCGGCCACATGCATAACACAGGGGAGGAGTTCACCAGCTATCTTGTACTGTACAAGTTGTACATATTAGGCACCATAAGGAGGAGACCTTGACTGGCCGTATAGGTCGTGGCCGAAGAACCGGCCGCTAAGGCACCGTGGAGGGCACCGGCAGCACCGGCTTCAGACTGCATCTGAGTTATCTTGGGGATATCACCGAACACATTCTTCACACCGAGCGCTGACCACTGCTCAGCAAGCTCAGCAGCAGGGGACGAGGGGGTAATAGGGTAAATGTAGGCGGTTTCCATCATAGCATAAGACACATGGCACACAGCAGTGCAACCATCCATAGTCTGCCATTCACCACCACTAGGAGAAGCCTTACCGGCGAAATGTCGGGGTAAGGAGGCAGCAAGAGCGTTTCGCGACGCTCCAAGAGCACCCTTGGTAACGACACTCAAACACGGAGAAGTATGATTCAATGTCGAGAGCATACAACAAAAACTCAAAAAATAGAAAA